GCGGAGCCAGTCAGAGGCGGGATTTGCCGGTTCTCCGAACTACTCAGAATTTCCGCTCCCGGTTCTCCAGAACTGGTCAGAATCGGCTGAATACCACCTCTGGACCTGGGTGACTGAGAATCTCCGTAGACAAAAATCCCATACCTACGTAAGAAAACCCCAACCAACGTAAGAATCCACACGCGGGCAAATTCAGAAAATGTGATGCCTCAACTGTTCAAGGGTGCATTTTGTGTTTAAGCCAGCTCCAGATTCAAGTCAGCATTCTTTAATGCCAAAATGATTTCTTCTCTTTTGCGGAGGCAGCTGCTGTTTGCCTGAACTTGACTTCTCAGAGAAACATTATTCTATGATTGATTGCCTGCTGAACTCCAATACCCACATACCAGATTTCCTGATATAATTATAGGCTATTGGAAGTTCAGCTCTGGAAATGATTTACGTAAAACTTCTGATTGGATCAGAATCCTGTTATTGGCTTTTCCTATATCATTATGATTAACACATTTCATAACTATTTATCCATTGTTCGGTGAGTCCCTTCCCACCAGGACAGCTGTACATCAGATATTTTTGTTCGTTAATTATAAGTTGTTTTTGCATATATATAATTGCAAGATTGAAAGATGGGGAAAAACTGAATGCACGAAATGACCACCAATCTAGTTTTTTTAATATATCTGTAGTATATCTATATCTATATATATACACATACACACACATACATACACATACACACACACACACACACACACACATATATGGTATTCAGCTTTGTTCGGGTATTTTCCCACGTCATTGTAGTTGTGCTTTTAAAGTTGTGCTTCTGATTGGATCAGAATCCTGTTATTGGCTTTTCCTATATCATGATTAACACATTTCATAATGATGTGGGAAAATACCCGAACAAAGCTGAATACCATACATGTAAGTACCCATGAAAACTTAAGAAAACATACACACACACACACACACACACACACAAACACACACATACATACATACATACATACATACATACATACATACATATATCTCTCTATCTCTCTATCTGTATCTGTATCTGTTGTGGCAGCAGGTGCAGATGGCTGAGGAGAGCGAGGACTCAGATGAGGGGCCAGGACCATTAGGGAGTGGACTGCTGCCTTCAGAGATTGTGGGAGCTGGCAGCAGTGACGAGGAGGTTCCCGAGGAGCCTGTGCCAAGTGCGTGTGCGCACAGGATTGCTTGCAGGAAAGAGTAGTTACAACAGCACGGGCGACTCAGGAGTAAGGCTGCAAGGTAATGGCCCCTCCCTCAAGAAAATAAAAGCCAGCTGTGAAACGAACCTTCTTTGCAGAAGGCAAAGATATTTTGAAACTCAGCCTCGTGGACATTACAGTTGGTATTTGAAGACTCTTGTAAACTATTTCTTATCTGTTGTTTTTTGGCAGCCTTGCAAAAACTTGGCAAGGCTCTTTCTTGTCGGAGCTAATTAGTTGGAAGCAGCCTTTTATCTGTGAAGAAACAGGATTCATAGATGAAACATAAAAAGGTTATACTGCTGCCTTTGTCTTGTGTTTGCTCTCTTGGAACCAGGTTTGGGTCAGAACATACACACACACATACATACATACACACATACATACACACACACACGGTTCTGTCTCCACTGCTCATCGCTGCTACCGGCTCGCCTGAACCGGGCCAAACCGGTAGAATACCACCACTGGTCGCCAAAGTGCAGAAAGATTCGAAAACGTGCTGTTTTAAGGTCAGATCACTTCCAAGCTATGCCAAAAGGCTGCTTTGAGTTCCGACTGGCATATTTTGGGACAGAAAGTTCTGGAACATGTGGCTTCCCCCGTGCAACACACCCAATAAGGAGAATGCGATCTGAGACATTTTCAAGGCTAACTCTCACTGGGGAGTTAGGGGAAGGGGGAGTATATTAGAAAGGTCGCTTGCTTCCATATTCTCTCTCTGGAGCTACGAAGTAATTGCTTGCACTCTTTGCGAGCTTAAGCATCCGAGACCTCAGGGAAAGAAAATGTGGAACAATTACAAAATGCTGGGATGATAAATCTCAGCTATTATTACTAATTCCTCAGATTATCTGCCGATGCAGACACGCATGACATCCCAAAGTGCCTGGTACCTTGGAGCTCAAACTCTCCACAGGGCCTTAATGGTATCGGAAGTTGTTGGTAGTCCTTGACTTACAACCATTCGTTTATGTCTACTTTAATGAACAAAAGGAGTAGTGGGGGGTATGTGTGTGTGACAGAACAGCAGTGTTCCAGTCTCTCAGGAGCTGCCTCAAAGAAGAGGAAGTCAAGCTATTTTCCAAAGCACCTGAAATTAGGACAAGAAGCAATGGGTGGAAACTAATCAGGGAGAGAAGCAACTTAGAACTAAGGAGACATTTCCTGACAGTGAGAACAACCAGTGGAACAACTTGCCTCCAGAAGTTGTGGTTGCTCCATCACTGGAAGCTTTTAAGAAGAGATTGGATAGCCATTGGTTTGAAATGATAATAGGGTTTCCTGCTTGAGCAGGGGGTTGGACTAGAAGACCTCCAAGGTCCCTTCCAACTCTGTTATTTCTATTCTATTCTCAATAAAGTTTCTATTCTCAATATTCTATTCTGTTCTGTTTTATATTCTATTCTATTTTATATTCTACTCTATTTTATATTCTATTCTACTTTATATTCTATTCCATTTTATATTCTGTTCTACTCTATTTTCTATTCCATTCCATTTAACTTCTATTTTTTATTCTATTCCATTCTATTCTATTCTATTCTCAATATTCTATTCTGTTCTATTTTATATTCTATTCTCATTCCCATTCCTTTTTTTTATTCTATTCTATTCTATTCTATTCTATTCTATTCTATTCTATTCTATTCTATTCTACTCTACTCTACTCTACTCTACTCTACTCTACTCTATTCTATTGTATTCTACTCTATTCTCAAAAAGGATTCTGTTCTATTCTGTTCTGTTTTATATTCTATTCTACTATTTTCTATTTATTCTGTTCTCTATCCC